TGATCAAACTTTCATCCCTCTGACTTCTTTTCTCATCCACTTGACCTCTAAGACTTTCAAATCTTCATCATAAAGTTAGGCACAAGTTGGGAGTATTTGCACTTTAGTTCCCGAATTTTCATTTTCTTCTACTTTGGTCCTTTTCCGTTATTTTCTCCCAAATTTCACCTTTTCTACCAAAATGCAATTTGAATCAAAATATAAGTATAATGAATACATTTTGGTATCAAATAATCAAATGAAAGGTAAAACATTATATTTTACACTCTTATCACACCCCCAACTTACTTATTGCTAGTCCCTAGCAATTTAATGCAAAATGACCAAATGAGTAATTGGTCCATGACACGAATGAAATTATTAAGTACCAATTTAACCACATGCCATGTTCCTTTCAAACTCAACACCACAAGAAATTAACAATGTCATGATCATCAAGCTATCAAAAGCACTTGTCGAAGGTGTGAGTGTGTGTCAAGTCATAGTCATCTTACCACCAACCCTAGCATATGTAGCATCAAGTATGCCTCAAGCTAAAGGTTCAACCCCATAACTCATGGGTATCAAAATGTTTAGTGAGGTTTTCTCTCTATGGAGCTGAGAAAGGGTATACACTCATAACTTGGAGGTTTAAATATTTATGAATAAGCAACAAACAAACATTGATTTTGTGATAAGCATACTTCCAAATGAGAATTCATCCACGTCTTACCACAACCATACTTAGGATCAAAGCAGTCAATGTAAAGGGTTGTAATGCAATTTGAATTAAGCTATATGAAAGGAGGAATATAATGATTCAAAAACTTCCAAGCGCATAGCCAAGTGTAGCATCAAGCTTCCCAATGAATCACATCAACACATTCTTCATTACTTTCAACCCCCAAAATCAATCAAAAAAATTCTCTCTCTTTTTTTTTTTTTTTGAATGAGCTTCCCTTCTTCTTCTTTTAACTTTTATCACTTCACTTGAGCATTTATCAACTTTCGTCATCTCTTTACTTCTTTTCTTCACAATTGAACCTCCAACACCTACTACACACTTGGAAGTGAAAAGGTGGGCAAATACATGTATAGGTCTCACTCCAATGTAGAGGGATAGGGATAGCATGAATGCATGAAGAAAGATGTTAAACATGTGTGTATATTGGCTCAAAGTGGCTACTAGGGGTTATAATTATGAAAGAAAATTGGTTTGAAAAGTTAAAATTCAATCTTAAATTGACTGTTATCATTTCCCAAGTAATCAACCATCATACCACAAATCATGTAACGTTATTTTCAAAAGAGTTTCCAATTCACAAAATCAATGAACGATTATTACCCTTTTTTGTATATTGTGGCTCTCAATCCTCACCAATTCTCACATGAATACTCTAGCAAGAGACTCCTTTGACTACATGTATTAAACTACTATCTTACCACAAGACTTATGTGCACAAAAGGAATTCAGCAAGTGTCTCAACATCTACACTCTCATAAACAACATTAATTCCTAGTGGCATATTTTATCATTCAAGAACATGAACATGTACAAATAGAGACTTAAGGAAAAATTTTAGACCAATCCAGCAAAACAAAACCAACATTTCATGAAAATCATGCAATTCACAAAAAAAAAAATTCTAAATTCAAATACACTCTCCGCCAAATAAACATTGCATTGTCCTCAATGCAAAAAAAAAAATAATAAATAAAAATAAAAATAAAACATGTCTGCCAAATAAAGGTAAGGAAAGATATCACCTGAGTGCTGAAATGAATCACATGAGCTGAAGTTAGGAAGCCTGAAAGTCTCCAATGGAGAGGGTGATACAGAAAATGAAAATAAACTGAAAAAAATTTGCAAAACACACTAAAAAAAAATCTGAAACTAATAAACAGAAACACAAAGTGAGTAACGTACCTGAAGGGTGTCATGGGTGGTAAATCGGGTCCACAAGAGGAATTTCTTCCAATGCAGGCACCTGTTGCCCATAGAGTATTTTGAGTCTCTGTCCATTCACTTTGAATGTCCTGCCATCATTAGGATCCTCAATTTCAACCGTCCCATTTTCAAAAGCTCGTGTACAAAGGGGCCAGTCTACCTAGAGTGGAGTTTTCCTGGGTGCTTGTGAAGTATAGAATCATACAAGTACACTTTCTGGTTTGGTTCAAAAGTTTTTCTCAAAATGTTTTTATCGTGAAATGCTTTCATTTTTTACTTGTAGATTCTAGAACTTTCATAGGTATCATTTCTTAACTCTTCGCTCTCACTCAATTGAAATTTTCTATGTTTACCTTCCTCTTCTAGATCAAAGTTGAAGTGTTTAATGGCCCAAAAGGCTTGATGCTCAAGTTCAACGGGTAAATGACAAGACTTTCCAAAGATTAGTCGATAAGGTGAAATGCCTAGGGAAGTCCTAAAAGTTGTACGGTAAGCCCAAAGTGTATCATTCAGTGTCAACGATCAATCCTTACGATTAGGGTTCATCCTCTTTTCCAAAATTTGTTTAATTGTCCTATTAGCCAATTCTACTTGTCCACTACTTTGTGGGTGATAAGAAGTGGAAATTTTATGAATCACCCTATACTTTTTCATTAGTGCCTCAAATGAACAGTTGCAAAAATGTGTGCCTCTATCACTAATGATAACACGTGGTGTACCAAATCGAGGCAAAATATTTTCTTTAAGGAATTTAACAACCGTTTTATTGTCATTGGCTCTACAAGCAATGTCTCTACCCACTTAGACACGTAGTCCACAGCCACAATGATGTATAAATAGCCAAAAGAGTGTGGAAAGGGTCCCATAAAGTCAATGCCCCAACAATCAAACACTTCAAGTACCAAAATGGGATTAAAGGCATCGTATTACGATAGCACCTAGTTTTTGACACCTCTCACAAGATCTACAATAGACATCAGTGTCTTTAAACAAGGTGAGCCAATAAAAACCACACTGCAAAATTTTTGCAGCGATCTTTTTCATAGAAAATGGCCCCCACAAGCTTGGGTATGGTAAAAATCTAGTACACTGGGTATCTCCTTATTAGGAACACATCGTTTCAATATTTGGTCGGGAAAATACTTAAATAAACAGGGATCATCCCAATAAAAGTCACGTACCTCAACCAAGAATTTTCTATTATCCTGTGCACTCCATTCCTTTGGGATTTCACCTGCAGCCAAGTAATTCACAATATTAGCAAACATGGTAGAGAAGAGATAGTAAATAAATTTTCATCAGGAAATTCATCTCTAATTGACAAGGTGTTCGAGTTGTCTTCAAAAGTCAGCCTTGACAGATGGTCTGCTACAACATTTTTCACTCCCTTCTTATCTTTGATAATGATGTCAAATTCCTGTAAAAGTAAGATCCAACGTATTAATCTTGCCTTAGCATCCTTCTTTGTAAGAAGGTGCTTAAGGGCGGCATGATCTGTAAAAATAGTAATAGGAGAGCCAATCAATAGGATCGAAACTTATCAAGCGCAAAGACTACCGCTAGTAATTCTTTTTCAGTAGTGAAATAATTCATTTGAGCACTATTTAGAGTTCTACTAATGTAGTAAATCACAAAAGGCTTACCTTCTTTTCGTTGCCCTAGAACAACATCTACCGCAAAGTCGCTAGCATCACACATAATTTCAAATGGCAATATCCAATCAGATGGTTGCATTATGGGTGCAGAGATGAGTTTACCAATCAACAATTCAAATGCATTTTGACGTTCAGGAGTCCATTCAAAAGTCACATCTTTATTTAACAAGTTACATAGGGGTCTAGAGATGGATGAGAAATTTTGTATAAACCTCTTATAAAGACCTACATGACCAAGAAATGATCTAATGTCCTTTACTGTCTTAGGTGTAGGCAATTTAGAGATCAATTCAATTTTTGACTTATCTACTTCTATCTCTCTTAAAGAAATAACATGTCATACGACAATATCAGAAGATACCATGAAATGACATTTTTCCCAATTTAAAACTAAGCCTTTTTCTTTACATCTAGCCAAGACTCTTTTCAAATTCCATGAACATGCATCAAATGAGGTCCCAAAAATAGTTAAGTCATCCATAAACACTTCCATGCAATCTTCTACCATGTCACTAAACACACTCATCATGTATCTTTGGAATGTGGCAGGGGCATTACAAAGTCCAAATGGTATCCTACAAAATGCATAAGTACCAAAAGGACACGTGAATGTGGTTTTTTCCTGGACTTCTAAAGCAATCTCAATTTGATAGTATCCTGAATAGCTATCTAGAAAACAGTAAAAGGGATGACCAGCCACACGTTCAAGTATTTGGTCCAAAAAGAGAAGGGAAAAATGGTCATTGTAAGTGGCAATATTTAACTTTTTATAATCAATGCACATGCGCCAACCAGTTACCGTTTTTGTAGGGACCAATTCACCTATTTCATTTTTTACTACAGTCACACCTGACTTCTTAGGGACCACCTATGTAGGACTAACCCATTTACTGTCTGCAATTGGGTAAACGATTCCCGTGTCTAGCAATTTAAGCACCTCATTCTTTACCCCTTCCTTCATTGTGGGGTTTAGCCTACGTTGTGGGTCTCTCTTCCTCTAGATGAATCCTATGGGAACAAATTAAAGGACTAATACCTTTCATGTCGACTATGGTCCACCCTAATGCAAATTTGTGTTCGTTCAGAATGCTTAAAAGTTGCTTACATTGTAATGAATCCAATTCTAATGAAATAATGACAAATAAGGTATCACCTGGTCCAAGGAACATATGTTTCAGTCCTGTATGAAGTTGTTTCAATTCTAACCTAGGACTTTCAATGCTTGATGGTTTCTATCCTCCAGTCATTTTTGGTAATTACTCAAACTTGAATTGCCATGCTGAAGTCTCGTGGTCCCGCAATTTTGCAAAAACAGTACAAATGTTAGCATACTCATCAACATCAAAACCACATGAAATTTCAGAATTTAGGAAAAAAGAGTTCAAAGGATCAGAATCAATTGTTGTGGATGCTTCCTCCTAAGTAAATGCATCAATCATATAGGTTTGATGGCATTCATCATCTTTCTTAGGTTGTTTGGTGACATGGAAAATATTGACTTCTAGAGTCATATTTCCAAATGTCAGCTTCATCATACCATTCCTGCAATTGATAAGAGTGTTAGTTGTAGCAAGGAAAGGTCTACCAAGTATAATAGAGATTTTAGAGTTAACATCCATCTCAACCTTCACATCTAATACCAAGAAATCAACGGGGTAATAAAATTTATCAACCTGAATTAACACATCCTCAACTACTCCCTTTGGTCGTATGGTGGACTGGTCAGCTAATTGTAGAATCACTGAGGTGGGTTTCATCTTTCCTAGACCCAACAACAAGTATATAGCATAGTGCATAAGGTTGACACTAGCTCCTAAATCAAGAAGGGCTTGTGCAAACTCGCGGTTCCCAATAACACAAGAAATGGTAAGATAACCAGGGTCCTTATACTTTGGTGGGATCCTTTGTTCTATCACAACACTCACTTGCTCGGTCAAGAAGGCAATTTTTTTGATATGATGTTTCCTTTTTACAATGCATAGGTCCTTAAGGACTTTAGCATATGTAGGAACTTGAGAGATCACATGCAAGAAAGGTAAATTGATTTTAACTTGTCTGAGGTGTTCTAGGATTTCATTATGCTGACTTGTTGATTTCGAAGTAGACTTGAGAGCTTGAGGGAAAGGTATTCTAGCTGGGTTTTCCACTGCTTTCTCACTAGGACTGATCTCATTAGGCTTACTTAACTCTTTTTCGTTCTCTCTAAGTGGAGGGGTTAGTTCTACAACCTTCCCTAATCTAGTGGTTATGGCATTCTCCTCCTTAAAATTGGACTCTTCGGACCCTAAGGTTTGTGCCATGTGCTTCCCTTTCGGGTTAGGTTGAGTTTAAGCTGGAAACTTCCCACGTTCCCCTACAGCTAAGGCATTGATTAACTTAGACATATGATTCTTTATCTCTTTGTTTTTCTCGACTACCTGGGTAATCATAGTCTCAAATTTTTTATTTGTTTTACCTTGTGCCTCAATGAATGCATGTAGGGTGTCTTCTAAAAAATTCCTAGAGGACATGGGTTGACGTGGGGGTGCATTGTAAGCTCGAGTTTCTTGGGCATGTTGTTGGTTCTCAGACTTCCAGTTAAAGTTGGGATGATTTCGCCACCCTGGGTCATAAGTCTCGGAGTAAGGGATGTAGGGCTTTTGATATATGCCTAAAACATTACAGTGTTCCTCATAAAATCCCCTCATCTCAGCGTAAATAGCACACTCTTGTGCTAGATGATCCATGCCACCACACACAAAACAAAACCCTTCAGACTCAACACGAAAAACAACATGTGTAGGTTTTGAATCCTTATCACATAGGGCTTCTAATTCTCTAGTGAGGCTTTCTACCTTAGCTCTAAGGTTGTCTTCCTCCCTAAGGTGATAAATGTATGTGCTAGTAGAGTTTCCTTGAGGTCGTGACCTATTGGTGCTATCGGAGGCATTAGGTCCAGTCCAAGTATGAGCCTTTTCAGCTAAGTCGTTTAGATACTCTATGGCTTCATCAGGGTCTTTTTGTAAGAGGTCTCCATTACACATCATTTCTACAAATTGACGCTTCCTATGTGTTAAGCCCTTATAAAAGTAACTCACCACACGCCAACTCTCATAAGCTTTACTTAGCCCCTTGACACTATCGCAGCCGCAGTTTGCCCAACTTCGGCCGCACATTGTAAATATTACTTCAAGTTTGAGTTATAATTTTCGTTTCATTGTAATAGTTATTTTAATTGTAAAATAGCTCTGATATTGGTAAAAGATTAGTATGATTCCTCGTCTTTTAAACGTCTACTCCCGTCACTTGGGTTTTTGTTCAGAATGCTATTATAGGGGGTATTAGTCATTCAAAAATCTTTCAAGCTCACTGGTGTCTGCCCCCTGCACCAGCATTTGTAATTTTCTGCTTTCATCAATTGTAATGTTCAGTTTTCAGCAATCAATGTTCAATTTACTTTCAATGTATTCAAATTCTCAATTGTAAGCTTTCTACAAAATTGCAATCAAATTTTCTTTCGTCCCGACGCGACCGAGAAAAGGCGGAAGGTAGTCTAGCGGAGCAGACTACTGCCGCACGGTGTCCCTTTCTGTGCCAAGAAGAAAGGCACCCCGTGAAACCTATTGGTGCTATCGGAGGCATTAGGTCCAGTCCAAGTATGAGCCTTTTCAGCTAAGTCGTTTAGATACTCTATGGCTTCATCAGGGTCTTTTTGTAAGAGGTCTCCATTACACATCATTTCTACAAATTGACGCTTCCTATGTGTTAAGCCCTTATAAAAGTAACTCACCACACGCCAACTCTCATAAGCTTTACTTAGCCCCTTGACACTATCGCAGCCGCAGTTTGCCCAACTTCGGCCGCACATTGTAAATATTACTTCAAGTTTGAGTTATAATTTTCGTTTCATTGTAATAGTTATTTTAATTGTAAAATAGCTCTGATATTGGTAAAAGATTAGTATGATTCCTCGTCTTTTAAACGTCTACTCCCGTCACTTGGGTTTTTGTTCAGAATGCTATTATAGGGGGTATTAGTCATTCAAAAATCTTTCAAGCTCACTGGTGTCCGCCCCCTGCACCAGCATTTGTAATTTTCTGCTTTCATCAATTGTAATGTTCAGTTTTCAGCAATCAATGTTCAATTTACTTTCAATGTATTCAAATTCTCAATTGTAAGCTTTCTACAAAATTGCAATCAAATTTTCTTTCGTCCCGACGCGACCGAGAAAAGGCGGAAGGTAGTCTAGCGGAGCAGACTACTGCCGCACGGTGTCCCTTTCTGTGCCAAGAAGAAAGGCACCCCGTGAAACCTATTGGTGCTATCGGAGGCATTAGGTCCAGTCCAAGTATGAGCCTTTTCAGCTAAGTCGTTTAGATACTCTATGGCTTCATCAGGGTCTTTTTGTAAGAGGTCTCCATTACACATCATTTCTACAAATTGACGCTTCCTATGTGTTAAGCCCTTATAAAAGTAACTCACCACACGCCAACTCTCATATCCATGATAGGGGCAAAGGGTTTGCAACTCTTTATATCTCTCCCAGATTTGGTATAAGGTTTCACCATCCTTTTGGGCAAATGAGAAAATTTGCTTTTTAAAGGCAGTGGTCTTATGATGGGGGTAATATTTGCCGAAGAAAGCTTGAGTCATTTCAACCCAAGTTCCCATCAAATGTGGTTTCAATGAATACAACCAGCTTTTTGCTCGTTCTTAGAGTGAAAATGGAAAAAATTTAAGTCTGATTGTATCCATTGTACCACGTTGATTGTAGAAGGTTGCAACCACTTCCTCAAATTTTCGAATATACATGTATGGATTCTCATTTTCAAGTCCGTGAAAAATGGGAAGAAGTTGAATCATTCCTGGTTTTAGGTCCATACGTGGCATATTGGGTGAGAACATAATGCAAGATAGCGTGGAAGTACATGTTGGGTGAAGGTAATCATGTAGGGTCCTATAGGGTACATCGTCGTGCTCACTATCGCTCATTGTGTTGTGTAATGTGATGCTCGTGTCAACAGATGCAGAATCAAGAAGAGGGTTAGAAAGTGACTCAAACTCTAGTTGAGCTCTTGCAATGAATCGCCCTCGCTCGTCTCGATACCTGTTCATAAAGCTCAAAAATGCAAAAATGTAAGAAATAACAAAATACAACTAAAAATAAACAACAAACTAAAAAGACAAAAGAGGAGCAAAGTCACCATTTTGCTCGAAAATCTTTTAATTATTTGTATCGTTTCTCTGGCAATGGCGCCAAAATTTGATTATGCCCAAAGTATAATGCGGTAGTTGTAGTACAGTTTTGGGGTATTGTATCCATAAGGAGATGTGAAAATTACTCAAAAGATCAAAAACTAGGGTTTTCATCGTGATTTGTGTAAAAATAATTTATCAATTTGAATGAATTATAAATATCAGTGTGTGAAATAATGAAGTGCCGGAATTCTCTCGATTGGTTCGGATCAATCAACGTCAATTACGCAATCATATACTTAATTAAAGGTATTTGTCCTAATACTTTAATTGAAAAATATATCATTAAAGCCTATTTTAATTCTATGGTAATTCTAAAATCCAGATTTCCTACAACACACTTCCCACTTTAATCTATTGAAATCAGCTAAAAAAAAAACAATCATATACATAAAGCATATAATGGTAAAGAATCACACCAATAATATTGAATGAAATTGAAATTCAACGAATAGTTTAATCCCACAGTAAACAAAACATGATTGAATCTATGAGAAACTTAATAAACGTTAAACCAATCTCACAATAATGCTTGGAATTGCAATTCAATAATTATTTTTGATCAATTAATAAAAAAAGCTTGACCGAATCTATAACAAATCTAATAAGAATTGAATTAGTCCCAAAACAATCTCATGAAAATAGGAAATCCCAACCTTAAAATCATTTAACAATGAAAGTTAGAATTACATGCGTGAAAGGACGTCAAAATCACCGATATCAATTGAGTTCCTTCATGACTTCACCAAATCCCTTAGTTTCTTATAGTGTTTTTGAGCCAAAAACAAAAGAAAATTATGCTTAGCGGAGAAGAATGGCGTTCTCCCTCGAATTAGGGCGTGTGAAAATCGCGTTTCCATAAGTGGTTGTATCAAATTAGGAAACTAAAGATTCGGGGTACCAGAATGAACCATGCGTATGCATGGTTATAATCGTGCATATGCCCAGTAGACTTGTTTAGGCCTCGGTAGTGGATTTTTGGAGTCTCGCGTACACAAGGGCTGAAGGCCTATGCGTAGGCATAGTATAAATTATTCTCCGCCAGATAGCTTTCAGTATTTTGAACATATCTTCCTCTCCCAATGTCTAATTGAGGTGATTCAAGTTGCATTAGAAATCTAACTCAAAGGGCTACAACTTTTATTCAGATGTTGTCTTCCAATTAGATCGTTTGATATGTCAAAAAAGGGTCCCAATATGAGACTGAAAATCGGTGCATAACTTTTTTCGATTGGGAATTGATGTGTGATCAAACTTTGATGGTATTTCATCCATTTGACTTCTTTTCTCATCCACTTGATTTCTAATACTTTCAAATCTTCATCATAAAGTTAGGCACAAGTTTGGAGTATTTTCACTTTAGTTCTCGAACTTTCATTTTCTTCTACTTTGGTCCTTTTTCGCTATTTTCTCCCAAATTTCATTTTTTTCTACCAAAATGCAACCTGAATCAAAATATAAGTATAATGAGTACATTTTTGTATCAAATAATCACACGAATGCAATAAATAAAAAGGGAAAACATTATATTTTACACTATTATCACCCTTCCATTGTGATCGAGATTTGGACAATTGGAGTACAAGAAAATGCAAATTTTGGAGATTTGAAGGCAAGGTGATTCAACCACACAAAGATCTTGAAATTCATCATTTCAAGTAAGTTTGTTGACCCGAAATTCATATCAAAGTATGCTATGATTTTCCTACATTAAACGTTAGATAATAGTAGTAATAATAATAATAATAAGCTTAAATTTTGTTCTTTATTTGCCCAATCTAGGCCATTATTGTGGATCAAACATGCATATACAGTTCTTCATCTTGGTCTTTGTTTTCTTCATCTTAATGCAGCACCGTAGTGATATGAACATCACACTTATTAAAATATTTACTTTGATATAAGAACTAGATCAGAATCTAATGATAGTATGTCTACCGGTAATTCTCTCAGGATATGTTATCGACCTTATCTCTGGCTTTTCATTGTTATGCATGTACTCATTCAAATGTACCAAATTGTAAAATATCATACCTTTTCTCAAAGATACTGTCAAGCAGGGCCG